ATGATGGCCCCCCAGCCTGCCTGTGCTCACTGCTCACTCACGCGCCCTGCTGGAGGCCCCTCCTCTCCCAGCCGAGTTCACCATCTGGGGCTCTGGCTCTGGCATGGTGGTGGGTGAATGAGTGACTCCCACCGACTGTGGCATGGAGCTTACCCTGCTGGGGGTCCCAGGGCAGAAAAAGAGCTTGCAGCCTGGGCCAGGGGCCTCTTACTTGGCCCTCCCCATCTCTCCTCAGGCTCTTTCCTGGAGTGCAGCCGCCGGCCATGCCCACTGTCTGCCTCCTCCCGCTGCTCCTCCTTGCCATGGGGGGGGCCTTGGGTGGCAGCAGGCCCTTCACTGCCTTCTCAGTGACAGACACCACACTCACCCACCTGGCTGTGCACCGGGTGACCGGGGAGGTATTTGTGGGGGCAGTGAACCGAGTCTTCAAGCTGGCCCCCAACCTGACTGAGCTGCGGGCCCACGTCACGGGGCCCGTGGAGGACAATGCTCGCTGCTACCCACCGCCCAGTATGCGCGTGTGCACCCACCGCCTGGCACCCGTGGACAATGTGAACAAGCTGCTTCTCATAGACTACGCTGCCCGCCGCTTGGTGGCCTGCGGAAGCATCTGGCAAGGCATCTGCCAGTTTCTGCGCCTGGATGACCTCTTCAAGCTGGGCGAGCCCCACCACCGCAAAGAGCACTACCTCTCGGGGGCCCAGGAGCCCGACTCCATGGCCGGGGTCATCGTGGAGCAGGGTCAGGGGCCCAGCAAGCTGTTTGTGGGCACCGCCGTGGACGGCAAGTCTGAGTACTTCCCCACCCTGAGCTCCCGCAAGCTCATCAGTGACGAGGACAGTGCCGACATGTTTAGTCTGGTGGGTGAGCCTGCCTGTCTGTTCCCCCTCCTCCCCTCGCCTCTCCTCCTGCCCCTCGAGAGCCAGCACCTGTGTCCCTCCTGCCTTCACTCTGTCCTGCCTCCACCTCCGGGCGAGCCTGGGTCCTAGAGGGGACAAGCTCCCGAAATAGAAGGATGGGCTGAGGCACAGGATGGGGCTGCTCTGGGCTCCTGTGACTGTGTGTTTGGGGGCGGGGCGAGGGGAGGTCATGAGGGAAGCCCTGGGGGAACCATGTTTAGGGGCCTCACCCCATGCTCTCTCCTCAACCTGCTCTCCAGGTGTACCAGGATGAGTTTGTCTCCTCGCAGATCAAGATCCCCTCGGACACCCTGTCCTTGTACCCCGCCTTTGACATCTATTACATCTACGGCTTCGTGAGCGCCTCCTTCGTGTACTTCCTGACACTGCAGCTGGACACCCAGCAGACGCTGCTGGACACAGCGGGCGAGAAATTCTTCACGTCCAAGATCGTGCGCATGTGCGCCGGGGACTCGGAGTTCTACTCCTACGTGGAGTTTCCCATCGGCTGCTCCTGGCGCGGCGTGGAGTACCGCTTGGTGCAGAGTGCGCACCTGGCCAAGCCCGGCCTGCTGCTGGCCCAGGCCCTGGGCGTGCCGGCTGACGAGGACGTCCTCTTCACCATCTTCTCGCAGGGCCAGAAGAACCGGGCCAGCCCGCCCCGACAGACCGTGCTCTGCCTCTTCACCCTCAGCACCATCAATGCTCACATCCGGCGCCGCATCCAGTCATGCTATCGGGGGGAGGGCACGCTGGCCCTGCCCTGGCTGCTCAACAAGGAGCTTCCCTGCATCAACACTGTGAGCACAGCGGGCTTCAGCCCTGGCACATCCGCTTCTCACTCTCGGGGACGCTTGTCCTCTCTCGTTCTCTCCCTGCATCTGCTGCTGCTCCTCCTCCCCTTGCCTGCCTTCTCACCAGCTCTCTTGGCAGCCCCTCTATACTTGTGGACCACGCCTCCCTTTTCCTGCCCCTCCACCCATCCCCAGTTTGCTACTTCTTGCTCCATCTCCTGGGTGTCCCTCACTGAGTTAGTGACAGTCTGCCAGCCTGTCCCATCTCTTTTTTATATATACACTAGAGGCCCAGTGCACCCTCTCCAATCTGGGACTCCTCGGGGGATGTCCCATAGGGATCGGGCCTAAACTGGCAGTCGGACATTCCTCTCACAATCCAAGACTGCTGGCTCCCAACCACTCGCCTGCCTGCCTGATTGTCCCTAACCGTTTCTGCCTGCCAGCCTGATCACCCCCTAACCACTCCCCTGCTGGCCCAATCGCCCCCAACTGCCCTCCTGCCCGCACCTGGTACTTCCCAACTGCCCTCCCATGCAGGCCTGGTCACCTCTAACTGCCCTCATCAGACTCCCTCTTTATTAGATAGGATTTTTATTGATTTCAGAGAGGAAGGGAGAGGGAGAGAGAGACAGAAACATCAATGATGAGAGAGAATCATTGATCAGCTGCCTCCTGTATACCCTACCTTGAGGATCAAACCTGCAACCCTGGGCACATGTCCTAACTGGGAATTGAACCATGACCTCTTGGTTCATAGGTCAACGCTCAACCACTTGCAGGCCCAGGCCTCGCTCTCCTTCTCTGCTCCTGCATCCTCTCCCTCCACCATCCGTCTCCCTCCTCCATCTCCTTCCTGCATCTACCTCCTCCGTCCCCAGTTTCCTGTGGGGTCCAGGGCAAGGGGTTAGTCTTAGCTGGTGAGGAACACCTTGCAGATCCTGCTCCCTTCCCTAATGTGGGGTCCTGTGGCCTCTGTCCAGTTGCTGCCCCCCCAAGCTTCAACTCTCACATGCCTTCCTGCTGTTTCCCCAGCCCATGCAGATAAATGGGAACTTCTGCGGGCTGGTGTTGAACCAGCCGCTGGGCGGCCTGCACGTGATCGAGGGGCTGCCCCTGCTGGCGGACAGCACTGATGGCATGGCTAGTGTGGCTGCCTACACCTACCACCAGCACTCCGTGGTCTTCATCGGCACACGCAGCGGCAGTCTGAAGAAGGTACGCCCTGGCCCCCTTGGCATGTAGACCTGGGGGCAGACTGAGATACGGGATGAGGGGTAGGGACAAGAATGTGCAGATGAGCCCTGTGAGACCCTGAACAGTACACAGCCCGTAGGGGAAGGGGGACTTCCCAGGCTGGGCCCCAGGAGCCTGGCCAGGATCCATGGGCAGCCCCCACAGCCATCCATTCCTACCAGCACCCATGCTCACTTTGGCCTGAATCGCCTGCTTGCTAGGGCTGTGGGAACAGAGACCAGACCTATCTTGGGGCGTCCCTGCCAGGAGAGCAGGTGGCTGTGGTTTAGCCATCGTTGCTAGATCCTTAGTCAAATGAATTCGGACATAATCATCTTTGCCCTCCTGCCCGTTCCTGTGCAGTGGGGCCTCAGTTGCTGTTGTTCTGGGACCGGGGCTGGTGGGAAATGGGGAGATGAGCCCCTGGGACCTCTGGCGTGTCCTAAAGGGACAGGAGTCAGGGCAGCTTCTGCTCCTCATCCTGTTTGCCAGGCAATTGCAGAGCTATCCCCAGGGGGGCGGGGGAGGTATCGGTGGCTGGGGGAAGGCTTTTGAAGGGAGCTGCTGAGGTCTCGGGCTGAGCCTGCTCCCTTGGGGTATAATTCCCATCCCATACACTTCCCCACTTCAAGCATACATTCCAGGGCTTTTAGTAAGTTCGCAGAGTTGCGCAACCCTAACCACCCCACCACCGTCTCATTCCAGGACATTGTCATCACCCTAAAAACCTCTTCCCCTTTGGATGTCACCCCTGTCCCCCATCCCTGGACATCAATAATATCTCTGTCTCTATCTCCTGGGAGTGCCTTCTGGCTGGCTGAGTCGCCCCCAAGGACCTCCAGGGGCTGGCTTTTGAGTCCTCCATCCCCTGGCCCTGGGGATCCCTGGTCAGGGAAAGTTCAAGTGCTGAGCCACGCCCTGGTTTCAGCTCAGCCACAACTTGGGAAGTCCCCGGCCCTAGAGGAGGATGCCCGGGGGCTCATGGGGTGCTGCTGTGGCCTCAGACTGGCTTGTTGTCCCTCTTCCCCGGTCTTGTGGGGCCAGGTCCGAGTTGATGGCTCCCAGGACGCCCACCTGTATGAGACAGTGCCCGTGGTGGACGGCAGCCCCATACTACGAGACCTGCTCTTCAGCCCCGACCACCAGCACATCTACCTCCTGAGTGAGAAGCAGGTGGGCCCCGAGGCGGCGGCGGCGGGCGGCTGTGTGGGGGCGGGGCGGGTGCTGACAACGTTGTCCCCAGGTGAGCCAGCTCCCAGTGGAGACGTGCGAGCAGTACTCGAGCTGCGCAGCCTGCCTGGGCTCCAGGGACCCGCACTGTGGCTGGTGTGTGCTGCAGCACAGGTGAGGGAGGCGGTGTGGGGCTGGGTGGTGACGATGGCTCAGGGAGGCTCTGCTCCTGGGAGAAGCCACCAGGCATGTTGGTTGGGGAGGGTGGTACCTGCCCTTGCCCACATGTTCACACCTCCCAGCCAGGCCCTTGTGGCCTCCCCCTCCCTCCTCTTCCACTTTCTCCAGCTAATGAGCAGAATCTCCACCCCAAATGACGTCACTAGGACCCCATGGGCCAAGGCGCTGTGGGCTGGGGCCGGCTGTCCCCTTTCCCCCCAGGCTCCCAGTGAGCCTTGGACAGAGTCCTCCCAGGGCAGATGGGGGATGGGCTGTGGCTGACCCCACACAGATGCTGTCGAGAAGGGGCCTGTCCGGGCGCCTCAGCCCCGTATGGCTTTGCGGAAGAGCTGAGCAAGTGTGTCCAGGTGCGGGTCCGGCCCAACAACATGTCAGTGACATCGCCCGGGGTGCAGGTAAGTGGAGTGGCGAGTGAGTGGGGTGGGGCGTGGGGGCCAATGCAGGTGCGTGTTGAGGGGTGCGCCCTGCTGAGTCCCCTGCCTTCCGCAGCTGACCGTGGCCATGCGCAATGTGCCAGACCTCAGCGCAGGCGTGAGCTGTGCCTTCGAGGAGGTGGCGGAGAACGAGGCCGTCCTGCTGCCCTCCGGGGAGTTGCGCTGCCCCTCGCCCTCTCTCCAGGAGCTCCGGGCTCTCACCAGGGGACATGGTCAGTGGCTGGGCTGCTCGGGAGGGGGCACTGTCTGTCCCCAGCTGGCTCACGGCCATCCGTGGGCTTGCTGCAGGGGCCACGCGCACTGTGCGGCTGCAGCTGCTCTCCAAGGAGACAGGTGTGCGGTTCGCCGGGACCGACTTTGTCTTTTACAACTGCAGCTTCCATCAGTCGTGAGTACTGGCCTTGCTGACCTCTGCCCCCATGTCACTCCATCCCATGCTGCCCTGTGCAGGTCTCAGATGTGCCCTGGCACCTTCTTCCTTCGGTTCCCCCTATGTCCCCTAGGAGGGGTGACGAGGGGGCAGCCTGGCCCTCTCTGTTGTT